TGTGGTAGTGGTGGGAGTGGGCTTGTCGGTAGTTGTGGTAGTGGTGGGAGTGGGCTTGTCGGTAGTTGTGGTAGTGGAGGATCCTGGGCACGGCGAGACGTTGCACTTGCTGCAGCGGTAGCTAACCTCGATGTAGTCGTAGCTCGTGTCCCAGGCAGTGCACTGGCGGTTCGAGTCACGCGATTTGCACGGGTACTGCTGGTGAAGGGACGAGATCTTGCTGTCCTCGTCACACCTAACCTGGCCTGAGAACTGGAAGTAGAAGCCCAGAGCCTCCCTGTCGGCATTGGGGCAAATTCCGGCCAGCAGGTCCCTGGTGCTCGTCCTGGGAGGAACACTCAGGATATCGCTGAAGGGCAGCTTGCAAACCAGACCACCGTCGCCGCTCGCATTTGGCGTGCACGAGATCTCGCCAGTACACGGCGGAGGAGCCGCGCTCCATGTTTCGGGTTTGATCATGTTGCCCTTTACTTTCCTGCCGAGATATGTCAGTCAGTTTCCATTCCAGTTCGGACAGAGCTTGGGACAGGAATAGGGGTCCGACAGGCGTGTTCAGAAGGATCTCTCCACTAGCTTGACCCTGGGGATATTCCTGAATAGAAACAAGATACATACCAGCCAACCGCTGCGTTCAGGTAGGTATAGCCCGGGATGGGCGCGAAGTTGAAGACCACATCGTGACCGACGAAATCGAGACAGACCCTCGACGTAACACCGGCCTCCTTGAGGTAGATCTCGGGGCATTGCTCGGGGTAGTTCTTCTCCAACGGGAGCTGGAAGTTGTTATTGTCGGGAATTGCTACACCAGCAAGTGTGCAGTCCTTTTGGCAGACATCATAGTCCCATCGCTTGAATAGGGACATGCCCCGCTGGTACAGCGATGGTCCAGGAGCGGCAAGCGCGACGCCGCTGCCGGCAACGAGGAGGATGGGGCTGATGGACTTCATGATGGATGATCTCGAGCAAAGCTGGTGAAGGCCTTGCTCGAGGCAGAAACCATGGCCATGGGTGGCTGATATTTGTAGACGAATCAGTCCCTAGTGTGGATTAGTAGGTGCGAGAGCAGCTGAACACTGAGCGCGCTTTGTGGAGAATACGTCAAATATTGATCCACGAGAAAATCTAGACCGGCCCGGCGAATCGGTGGGGATGAGTTCAGCCACGGTTCCCCTTGGAATTCAGCTCTGGATTTTGCACTAGGTGAAGCGCAAGAAGCACTGTTAGTGTTAGCTAAACTAGCGTGGTGTAGTGTGATCTCAAGAAAGGGGTCAATCTCGTGGCGTGTCTAATTTGCTGTGCTTGGCGGAAGTTGGCGCTCCGTGGCTCCTGCCATCACCAAAAATACGATCGCCGGCCGCAGCCAGAAGTTTCACCCATGAATGAGTTGGGGCAAACATCCGTCATGTCATCACCGTGATGGATGCCGAGTTGACGCGACGTGTCGGATCCAGCGGCATGTGCCGAATTCCCTTTTAAGAGGAGAAAGTTGTACAAGTACAATTACTGTACTGTACTCTGTCACTACACGGGTACGGTTCGGGGCGCATGTCGCGGTCGCACGTGGCTTGACTGTCTCCATTCCGGGCGGCAGGATCGGGACGAAGAACATATGCCCGTCATGACTTGGCAGATCATGCGGGTCCCGGAGTTCGGAATGGTTTGGGTGTTTTGGGGCTGAAGGCGTTCCTGAAGTGTCTCCGGCCGATGGAAGTGGAGTCCTTTCCAGGTTAAAGGGTTTCTCCACAGTAGGGCTCCATTATGCCTTCCATTATGCCGACATCACAAATAAAGTCCACAGGAGGACCTAGGGTCTCACCGGACAGTGCCAGCTGCTCGACCCCACAAATTGGTTCCCCGTGGCGGAAGGGAGGCTTGAGGTCTCCAACGCTTTGGGTTGCACGATCAAAGGGTGCAAGTCAATACTTTATTACCTGCATTGCTAGATCTGGCCCAAAGGCGAGATGACCCGTTCCTGATGGAAGCCATAATAAAATGGGCACCTGGCCTAATTGAGGGCATTACAGATGCTAAATTTACTTCGGCCACCTATCCCTTGCTCCGTTCACACTCCTCCGCCAATTGCGATTACATAGCAAGCAGGACATCCCTTACCTAGGTACCTAGGTGAATGGATGCAGGCCGCATCGCCAAGGTAGCCTTGAGCTATGTGTAACGTTATGGTCCCCCCTCTCGTGCATTGCTGCTCAGCTGCTGTGATTAGCTAAGGCACTCCTCCTCAGCTGAGGTGTACCAGCAAGTTCCCAATGCCGACATACTTAACGTTGAGGTATGTTCAAGCACGGTCATCTCATTATTCTGATATCCATCTCATTCCACCAACAATGGCCGAGGCTGCAATTATACGCCAACCCGGTCTGGCCGCCCTCCCTGCCGAACTGCTGATTGAGATATGTAGCTATCTTTGCTGGCACTGCAGGGAGAACAGACACCCAACTTCTCTAGGATCTTTCGAGGCTGGATCCGACCGTGGCCATGGCGGCTGTGAGGAGCCGATAGTATGGTCGCGTGAGGAGCAAAGTCAAACGGGTCTGGCAGGTCTGTCCATGGCCTGCAAAGCGTTACACCGCATAGCGGAGCCATTCCTATACCATTACTTTTACGCCTCTCGCGACGACGACCTCTACTATTTCGTCCGGACTCTGCTGCAGCGGCCTGATCTGGCCAGCGAGTGTTTGGAAGTTGAGATTGGCCACGCCCAAAGAGTGCCCCCGAAGACACCCGTTCCCCTCGCCATCGAAGGCGCCCTGTGCGACCAATATTCCCAGCATCTCGGGAACAATCCGTCGACAGAAACGTTGGCTGGTCTGGGAGACGTGGTACAGCAGGAGGTTTTGGTGTCGCTGCTGCTGCAACTGGTGCCAAGACTTCAGCGATTCCACCTCCGCCTGCGCGCCAGCAACACTTTTCACCTTTGGTCGGATCCTTCACATGCTCCTCTGGTGTCACTCAAAGCGTTAGCCTTCAGTGGCACTGGACATCACTGGACCGGGTTTGTGCTTGACCAAGCGGTACCCACCATACTGCGGGCACCCAATCTCGAGGCACTGCACTGCTATGGGGGGTTCATGGTTCCCGATGGATTCTCCCGCTGGTTGGGCCGAGAGACGCCAGAGGACCCTGCACCGCTGTCGAACCTTACCGAACTGAGACTCATCGACACCGGCTTGACACCCAAGTTCCTCAGAAACATCCTGCGCGCTGTGGGACCAAAACTGTGCAAAGTCCGTATCCGAATCAACCCGAACATCAAGATAGAGCGTCCTCTTCTCCAGATTGATACAGTCATTCCGGCCTTACTTCCCTGGAGCGACACGCTGAGAGAGCTATCCTTTACAGACGGCTGCCAAGGGTTCGAAGTGCACCCTTACCTGCTTGGGGTCCGCTTCCTTCGCAGCTTTCGGGCGCTGCAGAGCCTGGAGGCCAACGCGAACTTTTGGGACTCTGACGATATCACCATGTATCTTCCTGCTTCCCTGCGCAGGCTCAGGCTTGTGGGGCAACCGCCACTGGGGTACCACGATATTATCACAGCCTTGCTGGGTCTTCGGGAAGCGTTTGCTGCTGGCCAATATGGGGAGCTTGAAAGAATTGAGATTGATTGCTGTCCCGAAGACAAGTACAACACCAAGGACAAGGTAGAAGCGATCATGGACATAGCCACTTCTTTTCTGTCAGCAGGTGTATATTTTGCGATTCTTGACGGCCCGGGAGACTCCATGACCGGAAAGGGGGTATAATAGGGCGTTTCTGATCATACTGCCTAGTAGCTGGCAAGCTCCCGCGCATACAGTAGGCCGGTGCCCCCAGGTGAGTCTGGACTGTGGGAGGTTCTAAGCAGCGGCGAAGCATGACACGCTGGGCCTACCAGAGATCGGGCGAGCGGCAAGCTGAATTTCCATTGACCTTCATACGAAGCACTCGATCTTGGAGACGGATTTGTCTGACGGTGTCGGTTGATTCTGGATCACGGCCGTTTTCTGTGGGCGATTCGTCACACACGTACTTGGCAACAGTTTTATTATATTCACCACAAGAGCTCGAGTCCATTCACATTCGTCAAACACACCCGTAACAAGTGCCAGGACTACGCAAACCTCAATAGCGCCGCCCTGTGCTCTGCCACTGCAAGCAGATATTATAGAATCCTGAACTCTCTTCCTAGGCGCTACTAGACTTCGACAACGATGGGTATAACTCCCCAGGGTGAGTTCAGCTGTAAGTTCAGCCGTGGAAAAAGCGCAAGCAATGTCAAGTTTCTGTCCTATCACAATTTAGTGCACAGTCTCGTCCTTCATTTGTATCTGCTCGGACAACATGACTGAAATGATGTAAAGCTGTGATAGTGTCAGGGTAGATATTGGACGTTCCCGCCGAGTTGCTGTCTCTTCTTAGAATCAAATGATCTCTTAGATAAAAGAATATTACCATCGCCTCCTTGGTTCGCGCAGAATACTGAGAGCGGAAGCCAAAGTTTTTGTGGCCCGAGTTTGCGGCACGGGCGCTCGTCGTAGGAGCTTTGAACATTTCGCGTTCCGAGTTGCGAGGTCAGAAGAATTGCACGATGGGGCTTGGGCGACGTTGAAGACGGGACCAGTTCAGTGGGGGAACGGGAGGCTGATCCGAAAATGTCCGAACCCGGGTGGCTTATGAACAAGCCACAGCTGGACCGATGCTCTTGGCTCCCGATCCTGGCCGATTTGGCGCTTTGCCAGGTCGCCAAGTTCCAACAATCGTCAGCCTTACTCGTATCCTGGAGCTACGCCAAAACCACTCCGTAATCATTTTCGGAGCATCAACCTCAGTAGAGGGAACTGGCAGACAGAGTTATATTCTTATCCTGGTATGGACCGCTGCCATTGTCATTGCTTTCCACCTGAATTGGCTGTGTTGGCTGGCCACCTGCTGCTTTCTGCTTTTTGCCCCTGCGATTCCGGATCGTTGACGTGAAATTCGTGGATGCCCCATGACATCAACATGGGTAACCGGGTTCGGCCGGCCTTTCCAGCTCGTGGATTATCTGCATGACACATCCACCAAAGCATGTATCGATAAAATATTTTTGCACTGATAAATGGTAGCTTCTGGTCCAAGCAGCTCTAAGCTCTGGCAGCATTGTTGAAGATGGTTTGCTGTTGAACAAGGCTTCATTCCTCCTTTGACTCGAAACATGGCTTCACTACAGCACCGGCCGAGGCTACCCCTTGGGTCTGTCGTTCGTCATGTGTCTAATCCTGTGTCACTCACTCTCCATCACATACACACCCCAAATCGGAGTTTCAGTCTTGCTAAAAGCAAAAGTTGGTTCTCCTGTCCTTCCATGGCCAGCCAGAAGACAACGCCTAACCGCCATTCCCAGACAATGGAACCCGCAAAGAAAGAGTCGTGATCCTCGGCTCAGGCTGGGCAGGCTACGGCTTTGCCCGCACGCTCGACCCGGCCAAGTACGAACGAGTCGTCATCTCACCACGGTCCTACTTCGTCTTCACCCCCTTACTGGCCTCGACCTCGGTTGGCACCCTCGAGTTCCGCTCCATCCTGGAACCCGTCCGACGTCTAAAAGGCAATGTAGGCTTCTTCCAGGGATGGGCCGATGACATTGACTTTGATCGTAAGATGATCCGCGTCGAGACCAACGCGGCCGAAGAGGCGGCCAGCAAAACCATTGTGCCTCCGCCTTCTCCCTCGCCTTCCGAGACACCCGGACTGGAAAAGGAGACAACCATGGAGATAGCAGCGACGACAAAGAAACCCAAAGGCGATCTAATCAACATACCCTACGACAAGCTCGTCATCGCATGCGGCGCCTACAGCCAGACCTTTGGCATCGAAGGCGTCCGTGAACACGCCCACTTCCTCCGCGATATCGGCGACGCCCGCCGTATCAGGTTGCGCGTCCTGTCTCTCTTCGAACAATGCTCGTACCCGCGGGGGTCAGACCACCTCAGCGACGACGACAAGCGCGCCCTGCTGCACTTTGCCATCGTCGGCGGCGGACCCACGGGCATCGAGTTCGCCGCCGAGCTGCACGACCTCATCCACGAGGACCTGGCCCCCTTGTACCCGGACCTGATCCCCCTCGTGAGCATCACCGTCTACGACGTCGCCCCCAAGGTCCTCCCCATGTTCGACCAGGCCCTGGCCCAGTACGCCATGGACACGTTTGCGCGCCAAAACATCTCGGTCAAGACCGAGCACCACCTGCAGCGGCTGCGGCTCGCCGACGGCGAGTTCGGCCGCCGCCACGGCGCGCTCAAGATCAAGATCAAGGAATATGGCGACCAGGAGGTCGGCGCGGGTCTGGTGGTCTGGAGCACGGGGCTGATGGCCAATCCACTGATCGCCAAGCTCACCGCCAAGCGGCTGGCCGCTGACGGGGCGGCGGCGGCGGCAAACAACCCCTTATCCTCTTCCGGGAATAGCGACAACGCTGCTTCCCCACCCCGGCACCTGGCCCGCGACGCACGCACGGGGGGGCTAGTCACCGACGCGCACCTGCGGGCGCGGACGCTCGACGAGGCCGGGGGCAACCCTGGGGTGCTGGACGACGTGTACGTGATTGGCGACTGCGCCGTCATGGAGAACGAGCCGTCGCTGCCCAAGACGGCGCAGGTGGCCAGCCAGCAGGCGGTGCACCTGGCCAAGATGCTCAACAAGGGCGGCGCGGCCGCCGTCGCCGACAGGCCGTTCCGCTTCCGCAACTGGGGCACCCTGACCTACCTGGGCAGCTGGAAGGCCATCCACCAGAGCCAGGCCGACGAGCTGCGCGGGTGGGTCGCCTGGGTCATCTGGCGGGGGGCCTACCTCACTAAGTCCATGTCGGTGAGGAACAAGATTTTGGTGCCCTTTTACTGGATGGTTTCGTGGCTTTTTGGAAGGGGCATCAGCCGCTTTTGAGGTTATCATTGCCTGGAGGGTGTGGTGTTGCTAGAGCAGGATAGGACGGTGGTCCTGCTGTAGGTATGCATACAGTTGCGAGCCGTGTTTTGTTTCCAACTTTCCATTACTCTTGGCCTGTAGGTGCTTATGGATAGACTTTGATGGGCGTCAAAAATCGGTTAGATAGACTGATATCCCTGTATTTGTATACTGTAAGAAGATGTGTATATGACTGAATAGACTGTAGCATCTCGCTTCCTGCCGCTCCGAGTCTTAGGGGTCGGTATACCGACATCGGCGGTATTCCAGCAGCGTATTATTCGCGACGCATCATGATGCAAGAATATGCTTCTGACTGGGCAAGGGCGCTCTTGTCTCCAATGTGTTAGAAAAATCGCGGCCGTGTTTAATATGCCGTTTCCCACTAGACACATTTAGAGCAGCAGAAGACATCTGGCAAATGACGGATACAGACGCTGCCCTGTTCACAAGACGATGACTACGCAAAGTTTCTCCAAGTGATTACTGTTCATATTGTAATTGAAAGAGACCGGATCAAGCCAACGCTGGGTATCTGCCGCTATTATGGCGAACCAAGTGCGATAGCAATGTGAGCCAAAGTCTAATCCTTCAGGAAAGTAGTTATGTTACGTCGTAGAACCCTTCCCCTCCTCAGGCAACCTGACTATCGCCACCACCGTCGTCGTCACCATTCGCGTGATTACCCCCACGCCTCAAGCGGGAACCAGTTTCAACACCGGAACCAGCACCAGAACGAGAGCCGGGGTGAAAGGGAAGATCACGAGCAGCAAGGCGAGAGCCAAAGGGAGAACCGGAGGTAGAAGAAGAGGGAGAGCCAGAATGATGCCCATTCACAGTCGGAGCAACCGGGCCATCGTGTAGGTCGATCATGCTCGGGGAAGGCTGAGACGCGTTCGTACCGTTCGTTTGACCTTCAGCCTCTGGATGTAGCAGCCCAGTTGCCCCGCCAGCTCTAGCCCCTTCATCACGCTCCAAGCCAGGCTCGGTTGCAGAATCCGGAAAATGCGATCTCAAACTCCTCGCCCACAGGCTGGCCGGGACAGAGCTGGGCCGTCGTTGCTCGACGACATCCGGCGAGAAATGCCCCGGATTGGGCGGACGGCCTGTGCGGGTGGCATAATAAGGGGCGTCATCGGCGGCGCCAGAGCTGGCTGGATCAGGGGTTTCGCGGCGGCGGGCATCACCACGAGCCGGCGGTCGAGGGGGTCTTTCAGGCACAGCGCGTACCAGATTATACATAGGCCGAAGGGGTCGCTGCACGCGCCAGTCTGCGCTGTGGCGGCGGAAGTGAGCTGGATGGGTGTGGCCCGGAGTAATTCCGTTGCCCCGTTGGAACCCTGAGGGATCATCGAGTATGCGATTAAGGGTATGGAAATGATACACATCGTCAGGGCGGGTTGTGACACTGATACAGAACGAGGACGCGGGAGGTGTATCGGGGTATCCTCCGGCATTCTGGTAGATAGTATTCCCAACGATCTCGATGATGACCGGAATCGGCATCGGAAGACGGCCTGAACGTGTTACGGTCCTGTAAGGGTTGGAAAAGGCCGCGTCCACGAGCTCCGCCACCTCAACAGCGAGCGGAGAGAGAGAGATAGGCCGGGGGGGATATGGAATGCCATGACTGTCGCTGTTGCCGCTACGAACATCGCCGTCGATTCTGTGGCCATTGGGGTCCTAACGAGAACTGGCCATGATAGGCGTGGGGATGAGAATATTCGATTCGTCTTGCGAGAAGAAAGCTTCGAAAGACGTCGGAATGAAAGCGACAGCAAAACACCAACTGCCTAGCAGTGCTGATACAATCTGCTGGGCTGCGTACTGAAGGCTTGATAAGGCTTCTAGAAGATGTGATGGGGTGGTTGAGCAGCGAAAGGAGCAGCTTAGGCAGGTTCAGAGTGGCACAATTCGAGGTAAGCGCTGATGGCTGGTCCCTCCCTGGACCCTTCCTGTCTCACCACGGCCTTCCTGCCTGCCCAAGGCAATGCCAGCTTTCAGATCCACGTTCCGCTTCTAATTTGGACTGCCACGGCTATCCGTAATTCGAATAGATGTAATGCGAAAGATGCCTCATGAGAGCCTTGGCTTTTTATTCCCAATTCTAGTCGGTACCGCGTCGATTTTGGTCTCGAGAAACTTGGCAGACCGAGCCTCCTGCAGCCATGAGATCCGGACTGGTGCTACATGCTCCCGCACAAAATCAATGAGACCCTTTGCCTGCGGCGCGTCTTCCCGCAGCGCTATACTGGATACGCGGGGGATTCCCAGTGCGGTACTCAGACGGTCTTCACAGGCTTTAGAGAGGCCCACGAGCCTGACTGCCTTCTCTGGTGACTGAGACTGCGCGGCAAGCGCAACCATCTGTGGAAAGTGGCAGTGGAAAGCTGAAGAGTGCCCAGCGCGGGCGGCAAATACCACACTGTAATGGCTGTTGTTCTGTTCCGTGAGTGGAGCTGGCTCGTCTTTTCCGGCTGACATGGACTGCAGGGTGCGCGAGATTCTGGACAGGCCGACATCAACGTAGGCGGCCAGCTCTGGGGTGGGAGGTACTGGGGTTGGTGCCACCAGATCTCCTGGCTTGCCACTCGTACTACTAGCCTTCTTTTGAGCCCGTCGCCGTTTCCCCTTCGAAGGGGCGATGAACGATCGCCGGTGCGTCCCTAGAGGGGCCAGAAGCCTGCGTGGCGGATCAGCCAAGTCGCCAGAAAGGGGATCAGATACGTAGTCAGCAGACTATGGTATGACCCACCGGCAAAGGAGCTCTAAGATGGCATCTTGTTCCTCCTGGCTCACTTGGGGCCTGTTCGCCAAACAAGTCAGTGTCTGGACCTCCATGAGCGACCTAGGAATTCGTGAGAGCGCTGACCATTCGACCGCTGTGTATGGCGTGTCTAGCGTGTGCACAATCTTTTTGCGCTCCATCGTACCCAACTTGCTTGTGAGATTACAACCGCCGTTTCAGGTTGTTGTGGGCTGGCTGACACTTTTTTTCAGGTTTTCGGCTTGTGTCCGAACTGACTTCGAACCGCCAACTCCTACTGCCGTCTTGCCTTCAACAAACTTGAAGCTGGATGAACAGAGTGGCCACTGGGTGCGCTCCCCGTCAAATGCTGCTTGTGAAGTCGTCTTGAGGCAACACCGTTGACTTTAGGGGCTAGTCAGTGTCAGTCGGTCTGGTGATCTTGGGTCGTTCGGTGAAGGGAGAGGTGTGTCGCAGCGACCTCTCGGACTCCAGACTACCTCCGCTAAGGAAAATCCACCGAAGGTTGATGACAGGGCGCCAACACGACACTATTTTGAACAGCGTCGATGTACAATGCTACAGCGGAGTCTACAGTACATACAAGTATGGAATGTAAGGTATGTACAAATATGTATTCGGCTGCTTTCTACCACATTGCAGGTCGATCCGTTCTACAAAATCGTCTGTAGTGGAGAGTGCTTCCAGTGCGCAGGGGCCATAAGTACTGTACGGATACCGTGATGCTATTACTGGGGACACACCCTGGGGTATCACTGTCAGCCCACTATCTTCTGATTTTCTCCCTATGTTTGTATTGTACAGTACATACCATAGCGCGCCACCTGGGTTTTGCAAAATGGTCACCGTCAGTATTTTTCAGTACCAGGATGCTTTGGCCGTGCCAATTGTATGTTGATTTCAGTATAAGAACCACTGTAATATTCATGGAACCAACACAGTCAGATCACTCGAAGGGCAAGTTCGACAGACAAGACCTTCCTTCCTGAAATACTAACTATAGCTATTTTCAAATGAATCCATCTTCTAGCTGTAAGCGCATTTCGACTTTAAGGCCATTTTGAAGTACCAAGGTCATCTTCAATCGAATTTATCTTCTGACTGTAAGACCCCGGGCCTGACTGCTGGGCTTGTAAGGTACTGTATCCTCTGCGCAAGGCCCTGGGCACTGCATCCTCTGCGCAAGGCCGTGGTACTGGGCTCGGAGGGTGGAATGGAGTATATAGGTTACGCGAATAGA